TCAAAGCAGTTTGGAGAGAAAAACAAAGTAAAGAACAAAAAAAGATTAATCGATTATTAAATTAGTCATCAATTATTTTAATAATRGATTAGTCATCGACTAATTGTGGCAGCCCTAGTTCCAAGCCATTTKCATTAGGCCAGATTCATGGAACCAGCCCATTTTTTTAAGTACTTACTTAGTTGTGGTTCCAAGCGTCCCAGTCAACCCCAAAATGCGATGTCAGAGCACTGTTCCTCACTGATTTGCTAGGGGGTGGAGTCACTAGTTGTGTAGATGCCTTTACAACAACAACTCAAGGAGCCATTTTTTCAGTTGTAGCAATGACATTAGTTGTTTCGATCCAATTATAATTTGTTTTTTTTTTTATCAAATGTTTTGAATTTCAGAACTTATTTTGCAAATGTGTTTTCATCTCTGGTTTTGCACATTAACTTTTTTTTTTTTTTTTTGAAAAACCCAAAAACCACCTCCACCAACCACCCAAAACACACCCACTGGAACCAGACTGGAACGTCAATGGAAAAGCACCTGAACTGAACTGACCTGTTCTGACAATGACCGTACAAACACTACACTATTGGCACTAGTGGAAAGTGTTTGTCTCAAAGTGATCCTAGAAAAGTTCCAATGTATACCCCTCGGAAAATTTAGAGAAAATCAATTGCATTTTCCAGTCACTTGAAGAAGTGTATTTTTCCAAAATACTATAAAACAAAATTGTTTATTGAAAGGTAGAACAGGGACTTACAACTAGTGTTTGAGATGAATTTTATCTGAGATCGTAGGTCCTGCTTGTAATTTGTACTGCACTTATATTGTTGGTTATTTGTCTGTAACAAAATAAACTAGACAGAGAAATTTAATGACACAGAAAAACTAAATGCCRTACTGTTTGGTCTAGTCTTTATGGTATGTAGTTGACCCCTGTTGGCTCTCCGGTATGAACTTCCGGTTGTGGAAAAAAAAAAAAAATCAGACCTAAAATCTTGTTTTAAATAAAACAATAAATAGCGGTGCACTTATCACATAAYCATGGTATTGTTTTAGTGTTTAGTTTGGTATTAAGTATTTAGGCCACAGGTTAAGGGATGATTTTTGTCAGAGTTAATCTGTACTTTTCCTTTAGGGGATCAGAATGATTGCTCTAAACGTCAACACAGTGACTTAATTTTCTTTATTAATTTGCAGTTTAGACAAGTGCTAGTTTATAATGCTTTACAATATTTTTTGGCAGAAAAGTTTTATTCCTAATTTGGTGCCTCTGCCTTCACTGGATGTGCTACAGACAGCTGCTGTTGCTTTGAAGAGGACAGCAATTCRCTTCAGGCTAATCCCTCCTCAGTCTAGCTGTTAAGTTGTCAGCCTGTTCAGAGCTCAACTCTATTTTTCTTTCAGTTGAATTTGATCAAAGAGCAATCTACAACATGAGATTAACTCTTCACAGCTTGTCTTCAAAACACCACTTTAAAAGATCTGAGCTATTGCTTTAAAGACATATACATCCATTAATAACACAACACCCTGTGAAACAGCTGCATAACCATCACCAGTTGTTTTTTCCATCCATCCACCCACCCACCGACCTATCCACATCTTCCTGTCAGGGTTGCTGGGTCCAGCAGTGGTGTGGTGCACCCTGGACAGGTCACATAGAGATAAACATCCATTCAGACTCTCACTCACACCTAGGGACTATTTGGAGTACTGGTATCCTGATAGCAGTACTTGAACAAAATGCCCCAATACCAACACCAGCATCAATACTGGGATACTGGTATCAATGCTTCTTTGAATGCATTACAGTTTACATTTCAAGTGGAACTTTGTCAGTTCCATTAAGTATAAGAAAGTTGAAAGAAAATTTTATTTATTTTTATTTATTTAACAATGTTGCAATAGTATATATCATTCTGTATATTTGATTTAATACAGTTAGAGGGGCTAAAACGATATTGTTGTGATCATACACTTCTGTGTTTGTCAAGACCAAGGAACAAATACAGAATTAAGACTTGAATGTTATGCCTAAGCAAGAAACACATACAAAACAACCGTCTGAGCCTCTTATAGACTTAATTCTGCAAAATGGCCCCAATCAAGGTAGGGAGGTCACATATACTTTCTTCCAGTTTTGGCCACTGCCCATYGGCAAGCTGTCACATTGATTGAGTGCTCTCCTTGCCATATGACCAGAAACCAACAGAAACAGAAAACTGAGTKCTAACGTTAAAATATTTATGTGCTGTTAATGTTTCAGGCGTGTATTAACTAATCATATTGAAAGAGCACACGCTGTTTGAAATGACGGACATAAGCTACACAAAGCAGACTGTACATRACTAAATCCCATAAAAATAGTTTATTTTGTGAATGAAGTTATCAAAACAAACCCTAGTTCTCCTAGGAATAACACAGCATGTGTGATGCATTTAAAAATCAGTAGTAAACWGAGTAAATTTTRCTTTAGGGCTGTAGGCCTATAAGGAAGGAGAGCCACCTTGTTCTAAATAAAAGAAATGTGTTTAATGACACTGTGTAATGTTTAGGTTTTAAATCAATAAGTACTTTGTATGAGTGAGTACCTAAACTMGAGTACATGTACTCYGCTTGAGAAAAACTGGTATCGGGACACTCTAATAWAGAGACACTAAAAAGCCCAACATGCACAATTTTGGTCTGTGGGAGGAAACTGTACTACCTAGAAAAACACACTTGTGTGTATTAATATTTAAAATGGTTGTTTGTGAAATGTTTCCTATAGGGGTTACACAAATAAATTGCRGGTCGATTTATCAGCACRGATTTCCTTAATATTATGAGATTGGATATTGGCCGATACTTAGATATYATCGGTGGAAAAGATCAGCTTCTGATCTACCTCCACAACTTCTGAAAACCAGCCACTGTCCACTCCTGCTTTGCCGTATGCTCTACCTATTGTTGGCAGGTCAGATTTGTTAAATATCAATGATGGGCAAGAAAGCTGCAATCGGTGCTCCCCTAGTTTACCTGTTACAGCAGGCTCGATAGAGTAAATAGTAAGATATTTTATCACAGTTTGTACCGATAGATCTAGGACCACACAACACAGCACAAAAACAACCTCTTTGGCTTTTTATTTATTAACCTTTATTTAACCAGGCAAATCCCATTGGATTACAGATCTCTTTTGCAAGGGAGGCCTGGGCCAGAAGGCAACTTAACGTGCATGTTTTTGTTCTGTGGGAGGAAACCCATGCAAGTATGCGGAGAGCATGCAAACTCCTGATAGAAAGATCCTGGTCTGAATCGGTGACCAAACCCAGGACCTTCTTGCTGCGAGGCGTCAATGCTAATCACTYTGCCGTCATGCTTCCTCAAAATGCATCTGCAGGTCTTTGTTTTTACAACAGAATCTATGATGTTAATGTCAACAGATGCTAAACAGCAGGGAGAAAGATATTGGCAGAAGAATGACATGTCATAGAAAATGTAGTGACAGTAATTGGAAATAAAACATCCCTGTCCATGCATGCATGTCACAAATTGAAGGTATCACTGCTCCTTTTAGAGCAACTATTTTTTATGGATTGCAGCTATACCTTTCTCATTTTGATGCAGTTCTTTTGATTTTTGATTGCACTTTCAGAATTTGCATTGTTTTGAGAGCTCAGAATCATCATGCCTCTTGTGACAGCGCCGTGACAACAGCTGGGGGACACACAGTATCGAGTCAGCACATTTCCAAGCTGGTCAGCATGCCATTGTTGAGTAACAAACTGAAATGTGGTAAACAACCGAAAAAGCAGGAACGTGGGAGTCAGTTTTTAAAAGTGACAGAGTGCAGTCCTGCTCTCTGCTGAAAGACTGTAACACATGTTTAAGGTCCAGGAGCTCGAGAGCTCACCCCAGTGGTGTTGATGTGTGTCTGTGGCTTTGCCTGACTGTAAATTAGCTGCAAAAAGTATGATCCGATTACATTTTGTTTTCATAGATGTGAAAATTTGAGACCGTGTGGACATGGTGCCTCTCTGCCTGCAAACTCAATCTAGAGTCTCACACTTGCTCTTGTTCTTCTTGTTTCCCCCAGTGACGTGGGAAA